CCCCCCTCCCCCCGCCGCAAAATCGCACACCACCTACCCATCACAACCCCCTGACCCTCCCCCAAAGATTATACACTTCACGTCACGGCTCTTCATCGCGAAAGACGTTTATTCCGCGTATTAAAGTCCAAAGTGCTTTGCAAAAAGTCAAACGAAATTTCAAAAAGAACGACACGATCATGATTTATCGTCGCGCGTTCCGCATATTTGTGTAATTTATGAATCTTTGATCATTAATTGACTCACTGGTTAAATGAGTATTTGTTGCTTGTTGTTACTGCTACTTCGGCTGCGTCACCAGCTTTTTTCTATCGCATTTTTAAACGTAAATCATTCTTTCGATTCATTAATTAATTTGGATACCGAGCGACAAGCATACAATGATTTGTTTAACAAATTAAGCTCAATATTAAAACTTAATTTTGTGAAAAAGATTTTTTTTTCTAAGTAAGCGTTTAAAAAAAAAAAAAAAAAAAAAAAAAAAAAAAAAAAAGTATTCAACAATATTGAATGTTGATATTAATTTGTTTTACTTAATTCTCATACATATAATGCTTATACATCTTTTGAAATATTAGAACAAACAACAACAACCATGAATTAGTATTACAATTATAATAAGATGCTAATAAAATATCGTGTAGAGAAAATATTTATTGAAAGTGTCTTTTACACTGATGTGGTGTAAGCGATAATGCATGTCGTGAATTTCGTAGTCGATTTATAATTTTCACAGTGTTTGTCGTGTAAGTTAATATACTCTCGTCACATCAGAAGTAATTGTTATTCTTAATTATTAATAATTATCATGCAACTTTATCTATAAAGAATCATGAGCTGTTCTATAAACACTGCGATACATAAATTTCAATGAATAATCCAACTGGAACGGAACTTTGTACCATTATTCAATTAAAATACATTATAAAATAATGATTATCGAGCGACATGAAATAAAGAGCTTTTAGAATAAGAAAAAAGTTCTAAACAATTAGCGCAAACAAAAATAAACGTAAAAAAATTGTTGTCTTGCTAAAAAGTAAATCAATTGATAATTGAAATAAGCTTCCATCTGGAATAATAATCACATAAAATTTTTACGTAGTTTAACGTGATTCTACAGACGATAGATGGATCACCTCAGACATTACATTAGATCCAAATTACGAGATTTATATGCACAATTTAAAAATTACAATGACTTTTATTACGCAATAGGTATTTATTTAAGGAACAGGTATTTAAAAATCTTAAAAATAAAAGAAAATAAAATAAAATGTTTTAAATCACTTTTTTTACCTACTATATTGTGTCGTATTTGTATAAATTTGTCTTGTATAAATTTTTTCATAAAAATGCAAAGAAAAGAAAGTTGAATATAGTTTTCCGGCGCTTTTTGGGATTTCAATATTTGGGATTCGTTTTTTACCATCATAGCTCAAAGTGCCTAGCATAACCTCAAATTTGGTACTAAAGGCAAGTTACACAAGACTATATAATTAATTATATGCTATTAAAAGAAAATCTCATACAATATAATATATTACAGTAAACTTATAATATTTTATTATAATTGTATTTATTCTTAGTATACTCTTAGTATACTTTTTTCTAACATTTTATGAAAAATCAGAGAGATATTGTATTGAAAGAAAATTGATTTTGAAATTCATAAATATATATATTTTTCATAGGCATAAATTGCTGGAGTGAATAGAATTGTGAATAATCAAATTAATTAGATAAAATAGTATGTAAAATTATCGTAATATAATCATTAATATATTATTTTGTAATTAATAAAGTTAAATAGTTATACAATGAAATTATTATAAATATTATTTATGAATTAATAAGTATACTGATTGTTATATATTCAGCGAGAAGATATTCATTTTATTCGTGTTTAATAACAAGTGCATAAAACATAGAAAAGTGTAAAATTAATTGAATCTCGTGAAACGAAAAATAACCTTTAACCTTGTTGGGCACAATAATTTATTGTAAGCCTGTATTTTGAATTTCTATTATAAATTCGATGATTTGAAAGTGAAAATTGAATATTAACTATTGCAATTAAATTCTGATAACTACATTAATTATACGCGTTTGTTTTAATGAAATACGTAAGGCATCTACTTTAATTATTGTTAATATACAATTTGGTATTTACAATTTTTTACTTTTTATTTGGATTCCTTATAGTTTCATTTTTTTTTTTCTCCAATAAATTGCAATAAATGAAATTATTACAGATCTTAATAAAATATTATCTACATTGATATTTATAAAAAATTAACGATGTAACCAATATATACATATTATATATATATATATATATATATAGTCATAGTGAATTATTTTATAGTTAAAAAAATGAATTGTCTTAAGATTAAGAATAATTGTTTTTTTAATGAAAAAAAACAATAAAATAAAAATTAATATGGAATTGTAGGTATATGCCTAAAATGGCCAGGAATATTAGATCAAATTTTAATAATAAAATCCCACTCATAGCAACAGCTTCTGTAATCACTGCAACCGTTGGCTCATTATTAATTGAATTTTTACCACATTCAATATATCTTGAGAAATATAAAAAACTATTTCACCTCCAGAAGTAAGCATAAACTTAAAATTAATTATTTTTTTCATTTGATTGAATATTAAATTTTTTTATAAGAATTTGATGTAAATTAATTTTTAACTTAGATACGGGGATCCTGTATTATTGACAAAAAAGATTGAAAATTTATATAACGAAGTGTTAAATGATCTCAATATTGTAGACAAACCAAAAAACTTGTATCGTCCATTTCCTTGTATAGGATTTAATGTGTGTCAAGCAGGATTGAATACAAATAAGTTTGGATCGGTAATTGGCTTACCCGTTAATTATGCATATGAAGATAGATCTTCCGTAGATGTATTACAATTACGATTAGGTTATAAACAAGAAAAATTAAATGTATATCATCCAGCTGCGAGTAGCTTAGTAGACTCATTATTATTGTCAGATAAAGCTAAAAAGTTTGGTATCGCAAGAGAAATAATGATGAATCAACAAAATCTGCAATTGTATCGCTGCATGGAGACACCTTCCATGATCTTAGCAACAGCTTTTTGCTGCGAGTATGCAAGGATTCAGCTAGCTAGAAGTGTATCATTAACATTAAAATTTTCAGTCTATGGAATAATAACATTAGTAGGATACGGAATTTGGTTTCAAATTAGAGATGGTCTGAATACTTATTATGAAAAATTAGTAGATAAAAATTTGGCGGAGCTTAATTTAGATTATGTGGAGGGTGGAAAAGAATTTTACGAAAAACAGTTACAAAAAAATATTGCACTTCGAGCTCTGTTAGGGGATCGCGGAGTCAAAGAATATAATAAAGATGGGGATGAAATAATTACCATTCGTCGTAAACGCACACCACTAACGGAAAGAAAACAATTTTTCATTGATTTTATATTATCACAGAAACAGCAGGAAGCCGTATAATTAATTGATTTTATCACTTTGTACATAATCATAAAAAAGATGTTTAATTAATCATAAAACATTTATTTATATATATAAGATTTCTAAATAAAGCTATAATTACATTATTATTTACATTTGTTATTTATTAAATACGTCTTTCCTCCATTTTATTAAAATTGCAGTAAATTAATTATAAGCAATTAAAAGATTATTTGTAATGATTAATATTGCACAAGAAGTTGCAACATTCTAATTAAATTAAATTAAAAATACTGTGCTATCATAAATCGTTTACATTGATATCGATTACAAAAATATCAATTAAAAGATATAAATTATCTTCCAGGATAACTTAAAAAAAAAAAAAAAAAAAAAAAAAAAAAAAAAAAAAGATTATTTTATACTATTAATGTTTTAAAATCAATAAGTTATTTAGAAAAATTGCGAATACGAATTAAATAAAGACAACGGATTTGCAATAAAATGCATAAAAGAAATATTATCCGCACCAAATGTTTATAATATCCATTTAATATTTAAGGATGAAGGTAAAAATTACTGTTGCATCAATTGCGGCTCATCGATAAATATTTGAATGTTCGTTACACAGAACATCAATCATAATTTAATAAATGCAGATAAGTATATTGTGTTATGTTAAACCTAATGATCCAAGCTAAAAATGAAAAATAAATTTTAATATATCTATTAAAACATGGATTATCCTATCTCTCTCTCTCTCTCTCTCTCATTCACTCACTCACCAATGATAATTTGTCTTCTTCTTTTTTCAAAATTTTTGACGTCTGATCTTGGTCAAATTTAACCACAGCGGCAATAACTTTGGCAAGTACCATTGTTTCTTTTCCCATCATGTATTTGTATAGAATGTTCTTCAAATACTCAATTTCCGTTGAATCTTCCACCGATTCCTGCCTCATTTTTACCAATTTCCTTAGCTCGGCCAATTCTCTCTTTTGAGAAAGCAAGGTTTGTTGTAAGGTATGGAAGGAGCCAGTGTTGGATTGCACCGCAGCCATTGCCACTCTGGTTGTATTTTCTAATTCCTAAATCGATAAAGCAGACAATCTCATAAATAGATTAAATTCGTTAGCTTCGTTGTATTGTTAATTCGTCGATCAGTAATAATAGAATAATTATTATGTTAACATTGAAATTTTCAATTACAGCTATACGTATATAAGGTTAAAGTAAAATTTAGATTAAAAATAAATGAAAATAAATTGTTCACCTTGTCTAATAATTCTGTATTTTCATCGCTCTGTAAACAATATGAAAAAAATGAAAATTAAAAGATAAAAATAAAAAGGAAGCGCTTCAAATAGCCAAGTGAAAATAGAAATAACAATATACTTTTCTTTCGTTTTGCCATTCGTTGCTAAGTTCTGCGATCTCTTGCTCGTGTTTCATTTCTAATTGATTGGTTTTTTCCTTTACAATGTCCTCCCACTTTTTATCAAGACCCTGTATTTTATTATCTACATGTTCCAGTTTTGCTTGGCTCATAATAGCTAAACGTTTTTCAACTTCGTCCTGTATTTGTTTCTGTATTTGTTCATTGTCGAAGATTAACTTTTCAATTTGTTCGGACTTTTTGGTGACTTGGACTTGAAAATCTTTCAATTGCTCTTTGTATTCCTGTATTGTATTGGATTCGAAATTTTGCTGACGATCTATAAATTAAATAGATAGTTATGATTATTTTATTGTTTTATTGTTTTTTTTTTTTTTTTTTTTTTTTTTTTTTTTTTTTTTTTTCTTTTTGTTTCGTTTTGTTTTGTTTGCTTTGTAATGAAAAAAAAATTTTTATCCCCAAAAACGGACGTATAGATTTTTTTACCAAATCTCTTCTCAAGCGCCGCTTGTAGTTCTTTTTCCTTATCGTTGAGTTGAGCTTGAAATTCTTTGACAATTTGCTTCAGTCTTAAGTTCTGCTCATCCTCGTTAATTTTCAATTGGTCTCGCAATTTGCACGCTTGATTTTTCAATTCATCGTTTAAAGCCTGCATTTGCGTCTCTTTCACTTGAAATGTGACGAGCGTCTCATCCAGTTGTGATTCCAATTTTCTTTTCTCCATCGATGCATTCTCAATATTTCTACTCAAGTCCTCTGTTAATTTCTCCTCAATACTTTTCATCCTTTCCTCTAATTTTACATATTGCTCGTGCAATGCTTTCAACTCGGACTCTTTAGTCGCCAAGACATTCTCCAATTTATCACTACTTTCGCGCCAACCGTCAATCTCTTTTCTCGTTTTATCTTCAATATTTAATTTTAATAACGATAATTCGTCAATCTTCTCTAACAGTTGCAAATTTTTAAATTCTCTTTCCTTTATTTGAGCATTTTTCTCCTCCAATTCAATTTTAAAATTATGACTCTCCTCTTCCGCGTTACTGCAGACGTTAATTAATTCCTCATTTTTCAACGACATAGAGCTTTCTAATTTGGTAATTTCGTTTTTACGAGCTGCCAATTCGTGTTCTAAATTTTCACTTTTAACGCGACATTGTTTCAAATTAAGCATTTGATTTTGCAAACTTTCTAATTCTGATGTTAGCGATTCGTTTGCCCTCGTAAGCTTGCCAACCTCATCGATAAGGCTTGCACACTTCTTCTGATAATCATTGGCTTCTTCCAATAACGAAGTCAACTCAATATTCTTATTTTTCAATACATCCAATTCGTTTACTCGAGCTTTAAAATTATCCATATCATTATTACTATTCTGCAATTGTTTCTTGCAAAATTCAAGTTCACGTAGAAAAGTATTATTCTCATCTGTTATTTTGCTATTTAACGTTAACAATGCTTTATGATTATCCTTTAAGCTTTTATTTTCATTCTGTAATAAAAGGTGTGACGATTTTAGTTCATCAAATTCGTGGATTACGCTCTCTCTATCCGCCTTCAATTCCTCTAAAATATTATTATTTGCCTTTAAATTATTTAATTCGCTCATTAATTCTGAACAATGCTGTTGTAGTTCTTGAATCTCGGTTGTCTTACTATTTATTGCACGATTACGTTCGCTTTCGACAGTTTTAAATTTCAGTTTTTCCTGTTCCAATTCTGTTTCTACGATACTATTATTATCCTTTAATTGTTGTAAAGAATCTCTGGACTTTTCTAATTCAATACTTAATTTTTTACGAACTTCCTTTGATATACTCAATTCCTTACTTAAATTTAATAACTTTTGATTATTAGCCTCGATCGTTATTTTATAATTTTCGCACTCGCTATCTGTTTGACGTAGCCGTTGCTTTTCTTCTTCGCTTTTCGTTTGCAAAGCTTTTAATTGATTGCTTTTATCTTCGAGTTCCAATTTTATAATTTGAATCTCTTTTATGAGCTTATTATGATCTTCTTTTTCGAATTTTAATGTATGTACAATACCCTGTAACTCCTGATATCTCGTAGATAAATCGGTAAGTTGTGTACTTAAGCCTTCGTTTTCTGACACCTTAAGATTAAATTCTCGATACATTTTCTCGCGTTGCTGCTTTTCTAAAGAAATATTTTCCAGGATTTTTTCTTTCTCGAGTATAGCCCTTTCATAAAGCTGCTCACGCTCGTTAAATGACTCATTGATTTCGTGTAATTTACTGCACAAACATTCATTTTCTAATTTTAACGTAATATTTGTTGCCTTTAACTCGTTAAAACTATTCATCTTAATCTTCATTTCTTCAACTTCATTAAATTTACTCGTTAATTCATTTTCTAATGATGCCTTGTCACTTAATATCTGTTTCAATTGTACGGTATTGTCATTGGAATTGCTTTTAAGCTCATTTATTCTCTCGTTCTTTTCTGACAATTCGTTAATTTGCAATTTCAGACTCGCCTCTTTTTCATTTAAAAATGATAAGATTTTACCCGTCTCCCGTACAGTTTCAAATATCGCATCTTTCCCATTAAAAATACTATTAATTATATTATTTTTAAGCGATTCGTAATCATCTTTCAATCTCTTGCAATCATTTTTACAAATTCCTATATATTTGATTAAATTATCTTTATGATTAACCAGATTATTGATCTCTTCTTCATGATCATTTATAGTTATAGTGCTTGATTTAAGCTTATTGGCGAACTCTAATATCTCTCTATTTTTATTTTCAAATTCATCTTGAAGTTTGTGCATTATTTCTGCATCGTCGTGCGCTTTACCCTTTAAAATGCCAATCTCTTCATCTTTCGTTTGTAGTTTACATTTAAAGCCTTCCAATTCTTCTGTTAACTTTTGAATTGTCAAATTTGCCTCGTCGCACTCTTTAATTTTATCTTCTAAATCATCCTTCAATGCATTAAACTCTTTATCGTAATTAGTTTTTAATATACTATCACGATTATTTGCGTCGCATTGAACATTTTCCAAACTACTCGTCACTTTATTCAATTCTTGTTTCAAATGTATAATTTCAGATTTATGACTATCCAACAATCTTTTATATTCTTCTTTCTCTCTATCTAACTCTATTAAAAGACTCTCTTTCTCTTCTAAAATTTGTGTCAATTTTTTAATTGCTTTTGTGTCATCCTCAGTTGCTTTAGGCTGTTTTTCAAATTCTTGCAATTTAATTAAAAGCTGCTTATTTTTATTTACTTCTTCGAGATGTTTCAAGCTCATCTTCTCCTCTAAATGAATTAATTTTTCTTGCATCTCCGATTGCATTTGTTTTAACGCCTCCGATTTGCCTCTCAAATGTTCTTGACTTGCCTCGGCATTTTGATTTGCCACTAATTTTACCTTTTCCAATTCCTGTTTTTGTTGCTCTACTGTCTCTTTTAAAGATTTTTCAAGATCATAAGTTTGTTTCAACTCTAATTGCAGTTGCTTTATCTGCTCTTCTTTCCCCTCAAGTTCCCGATGAATCGACAATTTATTTTCTGCCAAAGAAATAACCGACTCCTCTTCCCGTCTCTTTAACACTTCAATTTCATCTCTTAAATTGGCAAATTCTTCCCTTGATTTTCGTAATTCTTTTTCCATATCATCGAGCTTATCCTGATTTGATTTTTGTAAAATATCATAATCTCTCTCTAAAGTATTCTTTTCATTCGCCACCTCCAAGATTTTATCCTTATTTCGTTTGAGCATATCCTTGTATTTTTCTAGGAATGTTTCCATTTTTTGTATTTTCTCCTTTAATTGTGCATTTTCTGTAAATAATTTTGACTCTTCGCTTAATTTCTCGGAGTCTGTATTACTAGATAAATCAACGAGAATGTCAACTTTGTCATTGTCCTGGTTGTTTGACGACTGTATATTTTCTATGCTTTCATTGTTTGGGCCTTTTTCTTGTAACAATTTAATCTATCATAAATTGAATACTTTAAAAGCATATTAAATCTTATAAATGCAGACGAAAGTTTTTAAAAGTTAAACAAATCGCAATTAAAATATGTAGCAAAGAAAAAGAAAAAAAGAAAAAGAAGACAAAAAAAAAAAAAAACATAAAATCTTTTAATATTCATATAAATTAAATAGTAATTTTTAATAATTACTTGTAATTACTTGTAGATGACAGAGTCTTGAATCTGATTTACATAAAATCTTTAGCTTACCTTAATTTTTAAGGAATTTATAACATGATCTTTTTCTTCGATATCATTTCTTAAAGCATCTTCTAAATGAGCTTTCGCCTGTTGCTCTAACTGACATTGTTCTTTCAGATCGCTTATTCGTCTTAAAGCTTTATCTTGTGTTTCAACCAAGAGGCTTTCTAGTTTTGTTTTTGAATGTTCAATATCGCGATAATGGCTAAGAAGGTCGGTAAATCTTCCTCTATATTTATCATACTTAGCTCTTGCTTTACGATATGCAGAATATAATTGTTCCTTGGAAATGTGATCCAATTGCGGACTTATATTATCATCCATCTCACTCGCCGATTGATCCATATCGGATTGCTAATCATTAGTAAATACATTGTGAATAATAATTTGTTGAGAAGAAAAAATAGAACGATAAAGCCAAATTTCCACCTGTAAATTGTACAAGTTTCCAGAACTTTCATAAATGGGAAAAAGAAAGGATGCGTCGCTGACATTACTGCTAACCGACGATCTTCTCGATGTACTAGAATTTATCGATGGAGGTGTTAAATCAATCGTTTGAAATCCATGCTTCGTTGGACTATTTTTTGGTGTCTCTGTTAATTAATTAATTAAATTAATATTTTTTTTTAACTTTACATCTGATCGATATTAAGTTAACATAAATAAAATCAATGAAAATCATTATCAATGCAAAAGTATTAAATATGTAATATCGTATTAACCATCCGTTTCTTCGGTTAAGCTGAAATTATCTTTAAACGGCAGATCTTGAATCGAGTTGTTTGACAATGATGGCGATACCACTGCCTATAATTGATATAAATTTTTCTTATAGTATGATAAGTGAATAAATTTAGGCCAGTAAATTAATGACATTAAATAAGAATATGAAAAACCTGTGCTAATTGTTGCATGCTTGCCTGTAGCCGAGCAGGAGACTGTTTCATCTCCTCGGCAAGCTTATCCTTAAATTTCTTAAACATTTTTCATATATTAACGATAAGCACCGATCTACTAATCTTTTTAGAGTTAAGAAATTTGCTTTCAATTCACAGATATATTTGCGATACTATTAAAAATGACATTTTCGTTTTATGTAAATAATATTATAAATACAAATACTTAAATTATATAATAAATCTACATAAATGTTTGTTGCAGATAGAAATTATGACAAATTCAAAAATCATCGTTAATATTTTATATCCTCGGATTTTTATATTGAAGTGTTATGAGTTTACTCGGACAACCATCAAGTCAAATACTGCGGAAGAGGTTAAAATCAACGTCATTATATGTCAATCATAGTTTCCATGAGTGTTTTACTTTCTTTAATCCTTAATTTCTCAATTATATGTAAATTGTGCTTTAAGATAATATTTTTTAATGGTTTTTTTTTTTTTTTTTTTTTTTTTTTTTTAAATTTTAATGTCACAATTAATGCATTATTTTAATGCTGACCTTGCTTCTCATAAAAATATGTTTACGTAGCTAAAATTTCTAATACCATATCGACATTTTCATTCTATCTTCATCAAGGTCTCTTTAATATTCATTACTTAAATAATTGTTTAAACATATATCTCTTAGATATAATATTTGTGTCTTTTTAATTCTTATTACTATTGCAAAATTTTATTCTAATTATTATTAGCTATTGGCGACTTTTTGTTTAGTGACTTTTAACTAAAAAAGTTCGCACTATAATTAGAATGGATGTGTTTTATTAGAAATTATCTAGTAATTGAAAATTAAAATTGTAATTCTTTTATAAATTCTCGTTTATACATTCTTAAGCATTTTATAAGCAATGGCTTCTATATTAAAAAAAAAAAAAAAAAAAAAAAAAAAAAAAAAACTAAATGAAAAACTATTATATAATGTATTTTTGCAAATTTTATATATCTCTTATAATTAATATTTTACTAAAACATTTAACTATGTGTCTATGTGTTATGTTGCTATTATAAATTTTCTGAGAAATTTATAATTCTGTATCTCCAAGTAATTTAGGTATCATTTATTTCCGTAATACTAATGTTCATTAATATTTTTAAATATATATCATACATATATCATACACAATGTTCTGTGTAGAATATATAAATAATAACATGTCATTAGATTTGTTTTTTCTTCAATAATTTAATCTTCAGAATCTATTTTTCATTAGAATACCTTTTATATTTAATAATATTTTAAACCGCAAATATTCTTATATTATTTTTGCATATATAGTATACGTGAGCAATGGTAGGCTACAATTTTTTTAAAATGTGACACAAAACGTTAATATTTTGGAATACATAATTGAATGTTAATAATTTTCATTACAACGTTTTAAAATTTTTAAATATTTCTCGTTTATATGTTGTTGTTGTTGTTGTTTTTTTTTTTTTGTTTTTTTTTTTTTTTTTTTTGTTTTATACTTAGTCCCGAATATTATTCTTGAAGTTCATCTTTCATAAAACATACAATTTACACTTCGTTAAAACATTTCACTACTACAGTTTTATTTGAATTTACATAACTTTGTTTATTTTTGTTTTTCCGAATATTGTTTCAAACGTTTCAAAAAAAAAACGTTTGAAAAAATCTTCAAAACTTTCTTTGATGTCCAAAGATCCCGATCAGTGAAATACATATGCATGTATATTTATAACAATAGTACTTAAAGTTAAAATTATCATTTACAATTACAAATATGCACTCATAATCAAAGTAATACTAATATATCTGTTTTAAAATAATTAATTTACTTATTACTGCCTTAATATTGTTTCTTTCTAGTGCTTCTTTCATAAGTTTTTTCATCGTGGCACATAATAGTATTCAATGGCGTCAAACATATAATTTCTGTTATTGCCTTACAATGTGCAGTTGTTAACATATCATTAGCCGATATTGTTTATATTGATATTGATGCGTAATGTACTTGAGATTCATCTTTTAAATTGATTTACAGAATTGATACAAAAGATAGATGCAATAATCCAATGTTCCTAATGTTGCGCTTGTCTAACAGTCTATGGAACGAAAGCTTATGTAACTGAAAATTTTTATTAAAATTGCCTGAAAAATACAATCTTATTTAAAAGATTCAAAGGGAAGAAAAATTTTAGTTAAACCATTTTTTATTTCTTTCAATCACGATTGTCGTAAAGTATTGTTTCTCTTTTTTTCTTCTTTTTTTTCTTTTTCTTTTTTTATTAGCAATTTAATAAAAATTGTCTAAGAAGGGTGAAGGCGAACATTTTCTCAAGCCGCAAAACAGAAATTCTTGAACATATTAACATTGACTAATATAAACTATCATTCTCTATATAATTCTGAATTATTTTTATCCAAGGGACTATTCAATTGTATTTTATTGAATGCATACTTAAGTAATGATAATATTGATATTGTATGGATTTTGTAATTTATTATAAATGAATTATATTTGTTTAATTATTACGAATAGACGAGCATAATCCCAATAACGTATTACATATTATGCAATAAATAAAACTTAATAATTTTAAACAAAGACAAAATTATTAGAAATATTTATTGTAATACATATCTAACAGACGTAAATCTTAAATATGTAATAATTATTGGTGTATTGTAAACACGTATTGTTGAATTTCTCATTTGTTTACATAGTCTATAATACCCATCATGTGCTAACTAAATTGATAACATTTAACGTTGGATTCATGTTCTTTGAATAAAATATTATCTTCTTTAACTTGATGCAACAAGTTAAAATAAGCTTTTTAACATTTAATTTCAATTGTTTCTAATGTAATCGTGAACCGATGACTGATGACACGTGATTCGTGTGACTGTTTCTAATAATCGTGAATTCTCTTATAAACATTTATTTTACAAAATTCTTATTAATCCATTTAAATCAATACCATATGTTATATTTTATATTCATTCAAATATTTTCATTAAGTTAAAAGCTTAGCCAATTAACAGATTACATCGCATAAAAAATTATAGCATTGTTTTTATAATCGTTTTAACTATCATTGGTTTTAAACAATTTAACGACATTGGATTGCGAATTAATGTTTTCTTATAGATATTCATTACTTACAATCGAAATATTCATTTGCGCTTAATTAATTTACCGCTTCTATCGATGGTGTTCTTTTCGATTAAAATCTTAAAAAATTACAACCATAGCTGCTCGACGAAATAGTTAAATTAATTATTGTTTATTAAATATTAAATTAACTATTAAAAAATAATTATACCTATAATAATTAATGGTTTTATTGAAATTTCTTTCCAAAAAAAAAATTGTACCATATTAATTGAATGCTAATTCAACAAGCAGATAAGTCAATAAATTTAATTAGAAGTTAAAAAAAAAAATATATATATATATATATATATATATATATATATATATATATATATGCAAATGAAGTTAAAAGCCAAAATGAAAATTCTTGATTGACAATTAAATTATAATGAAAATAGAAAAAAAAAGCCTTTTCCGTGGTATAAGAGAAATTTCAATATCGTCAATTTATATAATTTCACAAAATTACACTTTTAATACCACATTTAGTGAATATTATAAATCGTTATTATAATTTAAAAATTATTAATCTATGCATTTAGCATTTACGATGTATGCATTATTTAAATAAATTTGAAATAACTTATTTAATCATCAGTAACTTCATAATCTTCATCTTGTCCGTAATCGTCGTATTCATCCTCGACGATTTTCTTCATTTTTACAGGACAATTGAGGCATCTCGACTCGTTTACACCATAATTAATGCACGTATCGCCAATACATTCGCAACAACCGTCGTGAAACCATCTGTAACTCGTCGCACCCATACTTTGACAATATTTTTTACATTTGTCCCATGAGTTGCATTCTACTATAAAAGCTACGGTGCAATTAACTGTCGTTACATCAAATCTAGTAGAATAATTGTATCGGCCGTCGATGGATTCTAAAATTTCAAGAATAAAGTGGAAGCAATATTTTAATTTCATAATACAATATGATTAGAGAATTGCTTAATATTTAATTGAAAGAAAGAATTTTAAAATGCCATTAAATGAGTTTTAAGGGGACGATATTTAATAATACAATCTATTATCTTAATATGTGCTTAGGTTAAGAAAAATAATGTTTAATTATAATTGGGGCACATCAATTATATTTCAGCTAACATATTCTCATATCAAAGAATATCAAACTGTTGCCTTCTCATTTTCTCATACCATCGACTCTTCGTATCACACAACGCAAACTAATTTTTCCCGGATTAATAATATGTGTCTACCATTTATCTTCTCACTCTCGCTACAATGGACGCATAACAGTGGACGGGAGAGAGGGAGAGAGAGAGAGAGAGAGAAAATCCTTTGAAAAGCCTAATTAATCACTATTCCCAAAATATATCTACATATGTGCGAATAGTTAATGCAAATTCAGAATTATAAAGAGTCTCTAAATTACACGCAACATCGACTTTCATGCGATATTTTATTAATAATTACTTATAAAACCTAACGCCATCAATACTTTTCAATGAAAAATGTAATAAACCTATAATAACAATATAATAAACGCTGTTTAAACAAAATAATCATAAGATGATTATAATAATTATAACAACCGAATAGGATATTTCAAACAAAAGCTCGCGATAGTCTTCCAGATAATACTTACGCATGGTATATTTAAAATTTTTATCTTGATAATGATTAAATATTTTAATGGGAAGATCTACTGGATACGTGAAGCTCGACCATCTTTTATGCACGTCTGGCTCGTCGGTAAGAGCTTGAAAAAGTTCTGGAAATGCTTCGTCAAAATCTTCAACGTGTGACTTTTTACTCAACGGATTACTCGTTATATTTGGTTTCGGGCAAAGATCTGCAATTTAATCGTACGTACGCATCTTTATAATTTATAAGCAAACTATAAGCATTTATTACTCTCTTATGCCATATCCATTATTTTTAACTCATTAAATTTACGACTAATTATCGAGGCAATTAAAATAATTATTTCTGCTTAATGATGCTGCCGACATATCTCTATCGAATCTTCGTTTACAGATTTAAGTTTACAATTCAAAACATATTTAATAAACAAATTATAGTAACGGGCTGAATAATAATACGCACCGAAGCAAGAGCAACACTCGTCGTAGAGAAAACTGAGACAGAGAAAACAATCCTTACAGCAACTGCACGTGTTTAATTCGCATTTACAACTTTTCAGGAGCATGCATTTACTGACAATACTTGCGCAAATTGCTTCGTTACAAGCCTCACTCGGGCTTACTAAATATATAGTAAAGATCACCCCCGCAAACATCATTATTCTTACTTGCAGCATTAGTAGCATTAGTTTCTTTTGTTTTGCATAAACTTACGTTAGGCATATGAGCTAAATGATGCTGTGCTGAAATAAAACGAGCAGTGATAATTTAATAAATAGGAACTTAATGTAATTATTAGATAATTCATTAGTCAGGGAAATTATTCTCTATATAAATCATTTATTATTTACGTGACTTGACGTTCCCTATTGCACGATTATTATTAACATCGAATTTATAACACTATAGTTTGCTTAGATATTGTAATTTTATAATTTATTTAAGCAGATTTGCATTAAATATATAGAAATCTTTGCTACACAAGGCAAGGCAATTTTTCAAAAAGAAATAGTGTAAAAGTGATAAATAAAATTTCACGCTTTTTTTTTTTTTTTTTTTTTTTTTTTTTTTTTTTTTTTTTTTTTTTTTTGAAAGGAAAATTTTAATATTTGCGAACGAAATATTATAGATGTAGAAGAATCTTAATAATGCAACATTATAGCGTTTCGTTAATAATTTAACCATAATACGTGCACTTAACAGACTTCAATATACCTTACGTATAATTAATAAAATATTAGTATTGTTAGAAAATTTGTAGTATTGTTAGAAAGATACGTACCAATTTACACATCGATTATGAGAAATAATTATTTTCAAATTGACGAAGAAATACGTACGATTGATTAATACATATATTCGATCGCGATCGATCGCATAAATGTTTTCCTTGAATTTAATACCAAAGGTGGTAGTGAATTAATAGTAAATACACTACCTTTAACGTAAATACAACTACTAAAAGATTCGTTGTATGCTAATATCCACAATATGTAATTATATTATGTTGGTATACAATTATCTCTCTCTCTCTCTCCCCAGTTTAATAATAAATATTAATTTTGATTTTAAAAAAAAAAAAAAAAAAAAAAAAAACTTCCTAGTCATATGTACATTGACAAGTAAATCTTACATTCCACATGCTTTCACATTTATATTCGTCGCTGAATACAGTCGAGACTATTAAGTCATACAATTTTTATTTATGATTATTCGATAAATAACATGGGCAAAGAGCTTATTGGCATTTAGTAGAATAGCATTTAGTAAAATCCAAAAACGTATGTACATTTGCATGCATAATATTTACTATGTGAAAATATAATACGCGACAATGTGAAATGTGCTGTGCCATTATATCGAGATGTACGATTAAGATCCGAAAAGTTTATGAACAAATGGCTGTTAGAATTCAAAGAAGAATCGATGAATTGTGCGTTACAAATGCTCGTTTGCTTATTGGCAGAGCTAGTTAGTAGTCCAAGCTGTGCCGCTCTCATCGTCTTGCTCTGGCAAATAAAGTGAAAAATATTCGTCGTGAAAAAATATCGTCGTTTCATTCAATTGTTAAATGCGACTAAAATCTCGAGTTTAGGCAGTTGAGGCAGTAGTTTTCACCTTTAGTAAGCGTTGCGACATTACATTACCTACGACCTAAATTCCGCATCACCATTATCCATTTGAACGATTAATAAAGGCGATGAGTGCCCACTACCATTGATCTCGCGCGATTAATTGACATAAAAATGCGGGAGAAGGTAACAAGTTCGTATCATCGCGCTACTCCGCCTCGACCTGTTGCATCGGCCAATCAGCTCGCGGTATTTCAGCAACAATAAAGAAAATTGAGCATTGCCAGGCCCTTGACAACTCCATTCGTTTGACAGATTTGACAGTGGGAAGTTTATATAGTTCAGCTGAATTGTGATAAAGTGACTAAGGAGGACTAAGGAGTTCAAGCTTTCTCAGCTCCTCTCGACTCCACTAGCTTCGGTGCTGTCGGGGTCAAAAAAGGGATCACGCGCTGGAGCGAATTTAATTTTCCCATATGGAAAATAATATTGAAGACGCGAGAAGCGTATGGAGAGGTCGAATAAGGCGATAAGCTCATGCCGAGTGCATTGATGCGGTTAAAAATTCAAGGTAAATTGAATGAAATAAAGGCAAAAAGGTTATAAAGTCGAAGTGAGAGGTTATGACGAAAGTCAGATTTATTAAAATGTTGAAATGTTGATGTTTTAACGGCAGGTGTTGCTTATACAAACTACACATTATTAATATTATATTTCATATTTTAATTAGATGTAGAGAAACATTTTCTTTAGATAATAATGTACTTTAACGTTATAATTTACAGGGACTAACCTACGCAAAATAGATAAATACTATTTGTAATTAAATGGAACCGGCTCTTGATATTTATCAGTATATTTACGATCTGCCGCTCATCGAAAGAAGACAGCTGTGTAAAGCTTTAAATGAAGACAATAAGTGGGAAAAACTTGCTGGTATGTATTACCGTTTAAATGTGCCAATTGAAATGTTGCTCGAGCTCGTATATTATTGTGCATTATTTATTTTTCTATTCTATTTTTATATAGCTGAAATGTCTTACGATTCCTATGAAATAGGAAAGTTAAGAAATAAAGAAGATCCAACTGACCAACTTTTTACAATGTGGGGAGAATATAATCATTCGCTATCGGAATTATTTGTTATACTATCTCGAATAAGGTATTATCAATTAATGACCATATTAAAACCATTTGTCCATAGTAGATATCATGTACTTTTAAACAATGTTAAAGACAATTACAATAAAATAGTTCAAAATGAGAAACAAACGAAAGACACTAAAGACTTGAAAATTGGAGTACAAAATTTTAATCATAATCAGAAGCCCGATGAAAATACAATTAAAGTGATTGTAAATCAAAACACAAAGGAGGATTCGATAAAAATATTAAATCAACCAATTCAGCAACAGCAACAGAACGAAACACCAAGTAATTCGGATAATTTGTTAATCTCTATACCAACGATATTTAAGACATTATTACCAAGAATTTCATACGACGAATTGACCGCAGCAACGGATAATTGGAATAAAGAAAATATATTGGGAAAAGGAGGATTTGGAACTGTTTATAAAGGCACTTATACAATTTCATAAAGTATAATTATTAATTAATTTTTCTATTTATACAAAAGTATTTTAACTATCGCAGGAATATGGAAAAATACCGAGGTGGCTATTAAAAAACTTGAACCAAGAGGTTCTGATTACGATGAAAGCTATACGTTACAAATAGCCCAATCATTTCGTGAAATCAGAATTTTAAATTCTCTACCGCACGAGAACATTCTTCCCCTCTATGCATATAGCGCAGGTAGTAAGGCACCTTGCCTTATATACCAGTGTATGAAGAATGGATCGTTAGAAGATCGACTGCATCTGAAACACGGATATCCAGCACTAAATTGGCTTCAACGCCAAGTGATTGCAAAGGGTACAGCACGAGGATTGCAATATTTACACACAATTCATGAAAAGCCCTTAATTCACGGTGATATTAAAAGTGCAAATATTTTATTGGATAGGAATTTTGAGCCCAAAATTGGCGATTTTGGATTAGCAAAAGAGGGTTCTTCCAACGACTTTTTAAAAGTAAGAACTCAACATCATCATACTTGTAATACTGTTAGTCAATTAGTAAATAATTTGTGTTGTCGATTTCAGGTGAGCAAAATTCAAGGAACTAGACCATATTTACCGGAGGAATATATTTTTGGCAGATGTTTATCAACAAAAATTGATACGTATAGCTACGGTATAGTTCTATTTGAATTAGCAACTGGTTTATCCGCTTACGATAAATCAAGACCTACAAATAAGCGTTTAAAAGAATATATAGATAATTTTGACGATAGTGATTTACATTTATTAAAAGATAAACGAGCAGGAGAAAAATATGAAGAAGCTTACAAGTATTTAATGTCTCTTGGAAAGTGGTGCTCGAATAAATTAGCGGCACATAGGCCAGAAATGTCAGTTGTTTATGAAAAATTTGAAAATTAATTCCAAATGGTAAATTATTAATAAAAATGGTGCTATTTTAAATGTTTTCTATAAATATATTTTATTAATATAAGCATACGTTGGCTGTTATATGCATAACTTTAAGGTTCTTGATGAATTTTTAATACTTAGAAATGCTCGATTATTTCTATTTGCTTTTAAATTTTAAAGGCATACTTTTTTCTGCTATTAAGTCTTGTTCGTTTTCCAGTTCATAATTAATTTTTTGTAATCAAAGTTTATACTTACACAATGTTACATACATTTTTTTTAGATGACAATTCAACAATATTTATAAACAATAGACAATGTATATAAGAGGAGTTTAATTGGTTAAAAATAAATTATTTGCAATAATAATAATTGTTTAAGTTAATGAACATGAAGAATCTGTCGTATCGCTTTTCCTTCTTATCCTACATTAAGTTTTTATGTGTTATATATATATATATATATATATATATATATATATACACATTGTATTTAAAAAATGACGAATAGAATTTTTATCAAGAAACTGCACCCCTAAATTAACGATGAAATTAATAATTCATTGATTTGTTTATTAAAATAACTCAATCTATAGGTTAATAAAACGTCTTTTTTTTTTATTAAGATGCGTAGGTATATGAAGTGATTGGAATATACCGTTTTCCTTTTTCTTCAGCATACAACAAAGGCATATATTTATTTATCATTATAACAAAAATTACATTACGAATGAAAAAATTAAATTTTCAATAATATGTATAATAATAATGATAACTACGGCTACCGCAAGTTATGTATATAATCGTCACATAGTCACATTATCTAATTCCTACAATAGAAATTTATAATTCATTGGATATTATATTAGATAAATGTGTCGAAAGATTTTGTTGTAAATTACACTTGGGCTACCAAAGGTTCAAGCTCTTTTTAACTTTTTAACTCATAGTTCAATTGTTGGTGGCACTAGCGCAATCCCCACTTTTGAAAAATGGCGTCGATTGCGGTTGATCGAATTTTATTACGAAGTGTTTGTTTATTAAAAAATATAAATCGTTTATCTCTATGCAGATCAGCGGTAATCGGACAGTTCGATCATAGATTGATCCATGCAATTACACGAACACCAGTGTTTAGTCAGGTAATGTTGCCTGTACTTGGAGAAGTTCTGTTTCATGCATTTATCATAGTTATACTGACAATTCTTATGTAACTTAAACATTTAAATGAGCCGTATCCTTGGCTTTTCAATTGATAAACGACAAAGTTTTTTAATTTACACGTTAAATACTTCATATCGTCGTATAATATTACTCGCATGCTGAATTTTGTAAATGAGTTTCTAGATTATCATTTGTCTAAAGCTCGCACGTGTTTATTTAAGTTAAATAAATTTAAAAGACTAAATAATTGACAATGACTTCTACCGTTAAATCTGTATTACTTTTTTTTATTATAATTTCATGCCAATTAATTATTTATTTGATATGCTCTATTTAACTAAAGCTTTGTTATTAGTTCTTAACTTGTCGACTATATTGCTTTCAGCGCAAGTTTTGTTAACTTTTCTAATTAGTGCTAACGTTAATTTTATATAAAATTAAAAACACTAGGCAGGGATCAGGAGCCAGATAATACAAGATGTTTGCAACAACCAAAAAATGCATCTACATATTACTAGCACAACATATGGAAAGTGGTGCACCTACATAGATCATGCAAGATCGAAGAAAGATTTAGAGGACCGTGTTTTATTAGTTGTAGCTTCACACGACAATGTTGGTTTTAACAAGGTTAACATTTATATTCATTTCTTATACTTTATATTGATTCATAATTTATTTTACTTACTAATTAATGAGCTGTAATATTACAGTGTAGAGCAACTTATTTCATTAAATATTTTTTGAATATTATTAAAAACATAGTAGTTTTGGTGATTAGACTTTCTGATAATATATTCTTAAAAGATATATAAATTAATATGTTCAATGGGTTTAATATGTTGAACGACATTAAAATATTTTAATTTAAATCTGGCACATACCAATGTAGAAGGTACTTTGGTTTATTCACTGTATGAACGTATGACAAAATCTTTTAAATACATATATTTTATTCTATAAAAATATAAGTATTTAATGTCAACTTTCATTGTATTTATAACTGAATGAATTGTTTATATTGTTTTAAACATTATTAGAGACATTTAGTATATAAATGGATTTATTTATTTGTTGACACTACAGACTTTTATACCTAAATATCTAAATATATAATATAAAAATTCCTTATAATCATATTAACTTCAAATATTATATATAAATATACTTAGATCATACAATGCTAGTATAGTGTATCGTTTATTTGCAAAAGTAACCTTATGAATTATTTACAGGTTACTTTGCAGTCCCATTTCATAAATGATCTTGGCTTAAATTCTTTAGATATTATAGAAATTATTATGGATTTAGAGGATGAATTTGGTTATACCCTAGACGGAGAGATATTGGATGCCTTTAAAACTCCTAATGACATGGTGGAGTATTTAGAGAAAAAAGAGGATATTTATACCCATATGTAAAACTATTCCCATCAGTAAAAAATTTTAGTCTGTATCTTTTCTTTTGAAGCCTATTTATAATTTTATTTAAAAATAATACTGTATTCAATTAATTGTAATACATATTTATTTCCTGTTAATAATAAATATATGAATAATTAGAGTGGGTTTATAATTTTTTTTATTGGTTAAATAAGTGTCCTGTTCTACAAAGATTAACAACCATAGTTTAATAAACTTACACTGATTATTGCTAAATGATTTACAAGTTTAATTTGTTCGTTTTTATAAATTTGTACATAAAAAGAACGATATATAATCAACATTTTGTAAGTGAGAAAAATAAAATAAATTTCATATTCAAGTAAGCATATGTTCAACGATTGTGTTCAACAATTATATTAGCAAGTCGGTATTGTTCAAAAAACAACAAATGCTTTTTTGAATTTAAAATATAACTTTGAGTTTTCTCGATGTTATAGATATAATAGAGACAATACAATTAAATTGTAAATATGCAGTATAATCTAACATGCAAGATTACTACTTATATTATTAATTATCGATATAGTACAAATATTCTAGCGCATGACATGAACATGAACTATAATTACATACGTCAAGTATAAAATGTGTAATTCCAAATATTATATATCAAATAAACAGTATTGTCTCAATACATTCTGCCGCTGTAGAAAAATAGTGCAGGCAGTAATATATCAGTGTATAAAGAATGAATCGTTGGAAGATCGACTGCATCTGAAACACGGATATCCAGCACTAAATTGGCTTCAACGCCAAGTGATTGCAAAGGGTACAGCACGAGGATTGCAATATTTACACACAATTCATGAAAAGCCCTTAATTCACGGTGATATTAAAAGTGCAAATATTTTATTGGATAGGAATTTTGAGCCCAAAATTGGCGATTTTGGATTAGCAAAAGAGGGTTCTTCCAACGACTTTTTAAAAGTAAGAACTCAACATCATCATACTTGTAATACTGTTAGTCAATTAGTAAATAATTTGTGTTGTCGATTTCAGGTGAGCAAAATTCAAGGAACTAGACCATATTTACCGGAGGAATATATTTTTGGCAGATGTTTATCAACAAAAATTGATACGTATAGCTACGGTATAGTTCTATTTGAATTAGCAACTGGTTTATCCGCTTACGATAAATCAAGACCTACAAATAAGCGTTTAAAAGAATATATAGATAATTTTGGCGATAATTTTCCAGTTCATAATTAATTTTTTGTAATCAAAGTTTATACTTACACAATGTTACATACATTTTTTTTAGATGACAATTCAACAATATTTATAAACAATAGACAATGTATATAAGAGGAGTTTAATTGGTTAAAAATAAATTATTTGCAATAATAATAATTGTTTAAGTTAATGAACATGAAGAATCTGTCGTATCGCTTTTCCTTCTTATCCTACATTAAGTTTTTATGTGTTATATATATATATATATATATATATATATATATATACACATTGTATTTAAAAAATGACGAATAGAATTTTTATCAAGAAACTGCACCCCTAAATTAACGATGAAATTAATAATTCATTGATTTGTTTATTAAAATAACTCAATCTATAGGTTAATAAAACGTCTTTTTTTTTTATTAAGATGCGTAGGTATATGAAGTGATTGGAATATACCGTTTTCCTTTTTCTTCAGCATACAACAAAGGCATATATTTATTTATCATTATAACAAAAATTACATTACGAATGAAAAAATTAAATTTTCAATAATATGTATAATAATAATGATAACTACGGCTACCGCAAGTTATGTATATAATCGTCACATAGTCACATTATCTAATTCCTACAATAGAAATTTATAATTCATTGGATATTATATTAGATAAATGTGTCGAAAGATTTTGTTGTAAATTACACTTGGGCTACCAAAGGTTCAAGCTCTTTTTAACTTTTTAACTCATAGTTCAATTGTTGGTGGCACTAGCGCAATCCCCACTTTTGAAAAATGGCGTCGATTGCGGTTGATCGAATTTTATTACGAAGTGTTTGTTTATTAAAAAATATAAATCGTTTATCTCTATGCAGATCAGCGGTAATCGGACAGTTCGATCATAGATTGATCCATGCAATTACACGAACACCAGTGTTTAGTCAGGTAATGTTGCCTGTACTTGGAGAAGTTCTGTTTCATGCATTTATCATAGTTATACTGACAATTCTTATGTAACTTAAACATTTAAATGAGCCGTATCCTTGGCTTTTCAATTGATAAACGACAAAGTTTTTTAATTTACACGTTAAATACTTCATATCGTCGTATAATATTACTCGCATGCTGAATTTTGTAAATGAGTTTCTAGATTATCATTTGTCTAAAGCTCGCACGTGTTTATTTAAGTTAAATAAATTAAAGAAAGCACTTATATATGTATAATGTATACTTTCGTTTCATATATGTTGTATATTTCAGAATTTGTTAGATCTCGAGGTCAAAGAGGTACGGCATTACAGTTCAGAGGCACCACTTACAATAAACTTTATTGAAGACAGAGTTCTGTTGGTCCTGAAACTTTATGACAAAATAGATAATGCAAAGGTGTGTAAATCTCCTGTGAACTAAGGTCCTACAAATATGGCAAATAATATTTTAATATTTAATGAATCGATAATGTAATAAACACGTAATGTTATTAACACCAGTATAAGTCATATTTCTATATAGATCTAACGTTTAATTTACATTAAATACTTGCGCACATAATATATGCCCGTATTTAAAATTATCATCAAAATACGTGCAACTTTAAAATTAAATTTATGTGAAAGTAAATTTTTAATGTTTAGAAAGAAATGTATGGAAGAAGATGTTTGGTCACTGCTATATTAGCACCGTTTGATTTTTATATATAAAGTTTATCTTATTAATTGTTTACAGCTTACATTGAAGTCCCATTTCATAACAGACTGTGGCTTAGATTCTTTAGATCATGTAGAAATTATTATGGCAATAGAGGATGAATTCGGTTTTGAGATACCAGATACAGATGCAGAAAGACTTTTAACTCCATCAAATATAGTAGAATATATTGCAAATAAGAAGGATGTTTATTCTTAATACTATTCACTTATTAAGTAAAACTTAATCAATCACCGTTTATTTAATTATTGTAATAATTTCAAAAATAAATGTATATTTCATTGTAATTGTTCTTGTTTATCTTTCATAATAAAAAGGCCAATAGTTAAATTGTTTTTTTTTTATTAATCAACCTAAATTTATACAATAAACAGACACAGTATTTTTTATTCTAATTATTGCTATTATATTAGTTATGTCGGAATTGATAATATTCATATGCCTTTAATTGTCCACTGTCAAACGATAATAGTTGCCGTAAATTAACAATGTTAAGTATATATTTTATAAGTAAAAACAAATAAAATAAGTCTCACAATCTAAAGTAACTTAATGACTCTTGCTGCAAAATTGTATTATTGTACAAGTTATTTGGGACTATAAATTAGGATTTTATGGAGGACTTACATATAGCTTAGTATAGTTTATCCTATATATATTGCAAACATAACCTAACATGCGAAGCTCTTCACAGTTCTCATTAGTAGCAAAGTACAAACAATCTACTGCATAAAATAAACATAAATTTTAATTACCCGTGACAAGAATAAAATATGTAAAACGAAATATCATATAATAGATAAAGAAAATATAGGCAAAAGCGAATCTTACTGAATGAATGATATATTTTTGCCCATATGTTTTCTACAATTGAGAAAGTTTTCATTTTTAATTAGAAATATAATGAATTTCTATGCTGTGGCAAAGGGACGAAATCCAGGAATCTATGGAACATGGTTAATTAATTTATTATATACGTAATTAAGATTTCAGTAATATTGAGTAGTCTTTTAACAAGTCTTTTAACCGTTTAGGAACGAATGCAAGACCCAAGTACATAAATTTCCTGGCCCCTTATTTAAAAAATTCAACTCCAAAATTGAGGCAGAGAATTTCATAAAAAATCACTCTAATTCATTTGCCGGAACGTCATTGAAAGCAAAGAGGAAGAGTATATCGACATCAGCAAAAAAATTGGATACTTTGAGATGTAAAAGATTATTATCGCACACAAAAGAAAGTACTAGGAAGTACGAGAATACAAGCGAATCGTTAAAGGTAAAGTCTTAACTATTTATAGTCGTTTAATTTTTTATTTGAAAATTTAATACAACAAAGATTTTATTTTTAGAGTGATAATAACTTTATTGTAGATGAAAATGGTTATACAGAAGTTTATACCGATGGCTCTTGCACATCGAATGGTAAAGGCAATGCTAAAGCAGGCGTTGGAATTTGGTTTTCTGACAATAATTCATTGTAAATTATATTTTTAATTATTTAGATATTGTTTAATATGAAATATAAATTTGGTCTTGATTCGTCCAATCGATAATTCATTATTACTTTGACTATTAAAAATTCATTATAATCGTTATTGTTGCTGCTATGAGCGATTTACTGGCAGTGCTATAAAATTACTGCTTCACTATATTTCTAAAGGCAATCTGGCAATTTAGGAAAGGATAGGTTTCTTTTTAGTGGTATAGAATGGTGTTATTAGCAAATTCTTGGAGAGTTTTATCCATAATGTTCTAGCAAAAGAAATTGCATATATTTTTCAGTGTCTATGAGACGAGAGATAAATTGAAAATTGTTAAGATAATAAATTCAAGATCAAAGTGTTTTAAATATATATTTTTATCCATTTATTAGCTTTATTAATGATTATTTATGGGTAATAATTTGTATTTAGTAACGTATCTCAACCTGTGACGGGACGTGCAACAAATAATATGGCTGAAATTCAAGCCGTGACCATAGCGGCGCAACAAGCTCATAGAGCCGGTATTGTGAAACTCAAAATTATCACAGATTCAAAGTTTCTTATATCTTGTATTACAAATTGGATGCCTAAATGGAAAAGAACCGGATGGAAGACTTCCAACGGTAAGGATGTAATTAACAAATTAGAACTAATTGAAATGGAAAAGGCACTATTGCCCTTGACGGTGACGTGGGTACGTACAATTTAATACACGTGCGCACGAAAATGCACAAAAATACACTTAAACGTAACTAAACGATTTTTAGAATCACGTTAGGGGTCATATTGGAGTTCATGGGAACGAAATGGCTGATATGTTGGCGAGAAATGGGGGCGAACGTTATAGACAAACATAACTGTTATTAACTTAATTTATTTAATATCCGAGGTATTGTATTATTGTCGTGTAATCGTCCAATACAAATAATTATGCGAATGAATTGAATTTTTAATAAATTCTTAGTCCTTTAATATTCTTATCCTACAGGTTTTGTTTTCAAAGTACTCGATATCCGCTTCCTTTGTTGTGGTAATGGAGATATTTGCCTAAGTAATACATAAATATCCTCTGGAGAAACTTGAAGTGATAATAATTCGATCAAAATTCTATAAAATTGTATATATAAAATGTTTTAATAGAGGTGAAATATTTAAAGAGGTTATGTTGTGAAAAAAAAAAATAAATTTACTTAAAAACCCCAGGAACGGCATGTACTCCTGCTAACTCGGCCAAAATCATTAGTTCGGTCAAATTTTGCTGAGAATACGACATCTTGGCGTAACATATAAATATTTACAACAGTAATAGAAAAGAATATTGAATTGGCAAATTAATGTACTATTTGTGTACAAAAATACGAATCAGCTGTTTGCAAGTTACAAGGCTATAAACGCCATCTGTATTTAATGGTGAGAAAAAGAAACAACAACAACAACAACAACGAGAAATTTCGAGCCACGTATTACTTCAACACGCGTACTGCTCTACAATGCAAAAATTTTTTGATAAATATTAATATTAATATTAATTTGATAATTTTAATAAATATTCAAAGCCTTGTTTATACAATTTCGTACGTGAACAAACAATGTAAGGAATTAATAATAAAACAATGTATACACGATTAAAAACTTTATTTTGGTTTGCTTCATAAATGGGAAAAATATATGTAATGTTGTGTGTACCTGTAGGAACTTTGGACTACAGATTATGTCTGGGACAATTGTCGATGAGATAATCTAGCATCGATGACGTAGTCTGCTTTTTTTCTTTTTCTTTGTTTTTCCTTTCTCAAACGTCAGCAACGCGCAATCATCAACAATGTTAGAAAAGGTCCTTAAAGTCTAAGCTAAGGCTAATGCTTTGATAAACCTAAAGTAAGTTTTACGTTGGTAACAAATATGGTATAAAATAGCTGTTTGGTACAAGTGCATGTCCTTGCACGCATTACAAACTTAAATGTATAATGAGCGATTGTATACGTCATAAATGAATTTTGAAAAGGTGTGTCGGAGCGATACGAAGTAATATACTCGATGAGACAGGTGTGTGTTTTATAATGTTAGATTATAGCCTTTACAATTCAGCGACTGCGCGTTGAAATTTGCTCTTATTATCGTAATGTTACAAAATCGCTTGTAGACAACGCTAAAAGTACATTATTCATTGGAGATATAATTGGATTTCATTGGATAGAGACAGAGACAGAGAGAGAGAGAGAGAGAGAGAGAGAGAGAGAGAGAGAGAGAGAGAGAGAGAAAGATTACAATAATGTAAATTAAATTAAGTTTATTATTTTCTTGCACTTTCATTAATTAAAAACAAAAAAAAAAAAATGACGACGCCGATAAAAAAAAGAAGGGGGGGG